ATGGGAATCATGTGTTTAGGCAGAGATGAGTTCAAGAAAGACCTGGAACAGAAGTACAAACTCCAAAGATGCAGTTGTCTCACCTGATGTTTCACATACATGCATTTTTCAAAATTTGAAAGTAACTTTTTTATTTTATTCTTATTTTACTTATTTCTTATTTTCCTTTTTATTATAAAATAAAAATAAAGTTTTTTTAATTTTAAAAATAAGTTTTATTTTTAACTTTTTAACTAACTCCATGATTCACCTCTGTATATAGGTAGTCCTCGAGTTACGACCACGATTGAGCCTAAAATTTCTGTTGCTAAGTGAGACATTTGTTAAGTGAGTTTTGCCCCATTTTATGACTTTTCTTGCCACAGTTGTTAAGTGAATAAGTGCAGTTATTAAGTTGGTAACGGGGTTAAGTGAACTGGCTTCCCCATTGACTTTGCTTCTCAGAAGGTTGCAAACGATTGTAACACCACTCTGGGATACTGCAACTGTCATAAAATATGAGTCAGTTTCCAAGCATCTGAATTATGATCATATGATGATGGGGATGCTGCAATGGTCGTAAGTGTGGAAGACGGTCATGAGACACTTTTTCAGTGACTTTAACTTTGAACAGTCATTAAACCACCTGCTGTAAGTTGAGGACTAGCTATACTTGGTTTCAAAACAGAAGGGAACTTTTCCAGAAGCTATGTGCTTGTCCAGTGTGAGAGATTTAATAGCAAGGAAGCAAACATTTATTTATTTATTTATTTTAAAAATAACATTTCTTGTGTAATCAAAGTGTTTGACCCATTAACAATTTAGGACAGATTAATTAATGTCCTTTGTGTATTAATCTGCTTTAGTTGATCTCAATGGAAAAATATCTCCATGGAAATAAGGGTTTCTTTCATTGTTACTAAAGAGCTGTACAAATACTGTTAGGAAGGCTTCTTTCATTATCTTAAAACATGATAAGGTTCAGATAGGGAAATGGCAACTAGGAATCTTTATAGATCTGAAATTCTGGAATTTCAAGGATAAAGAAAAACACACCCCAGTGTATACAGATGACCACTGCTCATAATTATTACTCAGGAAAGAAATGGGTAGATCATAGAAGACAGGTGAGGATCATGGGATCATTTTTAATAAATATTTAACAAAAATCAATTGTGTGGACACTAATTGCAGTTTCATAAGCTACCTAAATTTACATACAACATAATGAGAAAGAATATTCATGTATGTCCAGTCTCTGTTTGTGTATTGATTTTTCTTTTTAAATGAGAAAGAAAAGCTGTTGTTCAAAACAGGAAATAGAAGTAATTTCACATGATTGTTTTCAATGATAAGGTACGCTATTAAAGATGTTTACTTACTTCAGAGCACCTTCCACAATGGGTGGATTATGACTCCATTAGTATTCATGCAATTGGTATGATTCCTAAAATCCACCTCTTTGGAACCCATGTTGTAATGGTGTGACTATATGAAGAGGTACAGGTATATAATGTGCAACCAGTACAAAACAAGCATGGATTAGGTAGCTATTATGCTAGGAGTGTGGATGCTGCCTTGTACACAATTTGTAGTGAGATTATTAATCCATCTAGCTCACTTCTACTTACACTGTTGTAAAGCAACTTCCTAATCAGCAACTTCCTATCCTACTTTCCATCCTGTGCCCCTTTCCATCCTGTGCCCCTTTGAACATTTTATATTCAAACATGTGCTGTATCAGTCAACTATAGTTTTCCCACCCATTTATATCTCATGTAGTACAAGTTATTTAAAATCAATAATACACATAATGGGTGTTGAATTTTATCTTGGTACTCACTTTGAGGTAGAATTGAAAATGCCAGAATGTTGCCTCAGGACTACGGTATTCTTTGATGGAAAAAAGGTACATGACTTGGTGTTTCAGGCTTTTGTGGTTTTAGTCTTAACTTATCACATTGCCTTATTTCTGTCTCCTACATAGGTAGTCCTCAATTTACAACTGTAATTGAGCTCAGAATTGCAGTCATAAGTCATGCTGGTCATTAAGTTGGTCATCATATGACCAACCCAATTTTATGTTCTTTTTTGCAGCAGTTGTTAAGTGAACATGGCAATCTTTAAGCAAATTCTCCACAATTTGTGTTTTTTGCCAGAAATCAGAAATAAATGCTGGTTTTCCAGCAAAAAACATTGTAAATTGTGGTTACGTGAATACATTTTTTCCAATGGCTGTAAATGTAGCCTGAATGCTGAAAATGCAATTACATGACTGGGTGTGTGTGGCTGTCAGAACTTTGAATCTGGTGTGAAAGTACCTTTTGGGGGTCTGTTGTAACTTTGAACTGTTGCTAAGTAACAGGTTGTATGGTATAGGATTACTACCTGTATCATACACTGGGAAATGGTATGTTGTTAGTCACTTGGATTGTGTTTATTAAAAATTTTTTTTATCTGAATGAACTTTAAAAGCTTCTGCATTCAACTTCCAGTGCCCAGTTTCATCATGGGACCTCCAGGCTGAAAAATGTACAGTAAGAAACAAAATAAAAGTGATCTGCAGTGAATAAAAGTTTGAAAAAGAATGAGACAAATAAGACTCCCTTGTTTGATCTCCAGCTTTGTGTCAAAATAATTTAGTTCTAACATTTCTTATCAGATCACGGAAATAGTGAGACCTGAATATTAATTACTCATACTTTTCAGATTTCAATTCAGTTTAGTTTAAGAGAAATTCAATGGAAGAAATTGTTGGCTACCACTATCAACATAAGACTTTTTTTACCTAATTATATTTTTACAGTAACATCTGCCGGGAGTTAGATGCAGTGTGAAGGTCATTAATTGATTTATTTCTCTAGTCCCACCATTTTTTAATTTTTATATAAATTCAGTGATCTCATATTTTAACGTGGGTTCATCCATTGGCCAAGAGGCATATTCCAATCTTTCTTGATGCCGATGATACAGTCATCCTCTTTGTTCTGTCATAGGGCTGAGAAGAGTCTTAAAAGAACTCACACACTATTGTGAAAACTAGATACTGCTAGTTAATTAATTACAAGAAAACAAAAGCTGTAACCCTTACTAGGAAAGTAAAAGAGCATAAATTAGTCAATCAATGACTACAAAATATATAATCCAGACCTTTCACTATTTAGGCATAACCTTTCATGCAACTGTGAGATGAGAAGCACATCTACTTGTCTATCTCAAGTGGAGTCATGGAGTTATTCCCTTGTACTTATTTTGGATAGATACTATGAGATCCCTTATTTGAAAAGTCTCTGCCCCTGTAGCTCTCCAGCAATTGACTTAGAGTAACTTTATTGTTACTCTAAATGTACATTAATTGGCATACATTAAAATGAAATTTCATTGCATACAGCTCTCAAAGGGTCACCTCCTCCAATATACACTACATAAACATGACAAAATAAATACAAAATTATGCATATACCCACATATATTATATGACTCAGAGAAATAACACAGCCTAGTCCGTCTAACCTACTCAAAGTCTAGCCTACAATCAGTCCTCGCACTTACAACCATCGGAACATCCCCATAGTCACATGATCAAAATTCAAATGCTTGGCAACCAACATGTATTTATGATGGTTGCAGTATTTTGGCTCATGTGTTCACCATTTGCAACTTTCCCAACCAGCTTCTAACAAGCAAAAATCAGTGGGAGAAGCCAGGTTCACCTAAGGACTGCATGATTCCTTAACAACTGCAGTGATTTACTTAAGAACCGTGGCAAAAAAGGACAATAAAATCAGGCATGATTTACTTTACAACTGCCTTGATTAGCAATGGAAATTCTGGACCCAATTTTGGCCATAAATCCAGAGCTACCTGTACTGAATTACTTTTCAAAATACACTGGGAAATAATTTAGATTTTGTGGACCATTGCGAAGGACCTTTGGCCACACTTTTGAGAAATCTTGTATTAATGTTATTCATTCAATAGCTGGATTTTGTGTTGCAGCTACAAAAAAATAATCTCATTATTTGACACATGGGAACCCCTGCCAAATCCAGGGCACCACTTAGACTGTTAAATGTCCCATTTTGTTCCTTCTGTAATATATAATTTTATTTTGTTACATTTTATTACATTTGTTTTACTACATTTTATGGACCATTTTAAATATACCTAATAAGCAGTATTTTACCTTACTCTGCAACAGTTTTAATTATAGGTCACAGCCTGGTGACATGTTTTGAATATTTCATGAACCTCACACCTTCTCTTCTGATTATTTCCTATATATTTTATTTGTTCTATTGTTCACTGTATTATAATTTTCTGCCGCTTTGACTGGTCAATTGTAAACAGTAAAATAAAATATTAATTACTTACCAATTACTATTACAAACTAAATAGTCTTCTGTTTAGAGAATTGGAAGCTTTTCGAAGAAGATGAGTTCATTTTTTAAAAAGTGTAATACAGTAGCTACAACTTCAGTCATTGTATTGTTGTCATGGTAATACATTGGTCAAACCTGAAGTGGGAAAATATCCTTACTGTGCTACGCTTTCTGGAAGCAAGATATGAAGAAAAATACATAATTACTATTTGACTTCTATTAAAAAATGTTTTCCTGTTTATCACTGATGTCAGTCAGTGAACACACAGTTCTTTGTTTAGGAAGGGACATTTTTGCCTACAATATTTGTCCACCCTGGAAGGAATTGATTGCTGCTGCCGAAGCAATTCAGAAATCTAGATTATGGGAGGGTGTTGCTTGGTGCAAATGTGATTATGAAGGAGTGTCTAATTTTGAATATTTCTAATTGTGATCTTTTAAATATTGGTGATTTTTCTGGGTTCATAAATATCAAATAATATTTTCCTGTCAAATGATTGTTGCTGAATACAGGCTACCAGAAACAGGATATTGGGTGAAACACAAAATTCTACCGATGCTGTTATCTTCTTGGGAAACCAGAAAAAAGGCCAGTGTGTGACAATCCTGCAGTGACACACATTGTGTTGATTATTTAGATGAGAAGGATGAAATTGATTGTAACATGGAATCCATTAAGGAGTGGCATGATGAATGATATTTTTATATGTCTTTCAAAGTCACAAAGCTGTGAGATGGGCGTCTACATATAAGGCTTAAATAAAATAAAATAAATAACTTTATTTCTGATACAAATGGTGTATAACAGAAAGAAAGGCTAAATTCTGTATGCTTCTTCTTGGATGAATCTTCCTTCTCCTGGAGTGGTGCTGCCCAGAAGTACCTTAATCGTGTAATATAAATAATTCTGTTTGGGAAATGCCTGAGATCAGGGTCTATCCTACAAATCAAATAAGAATACATGTTAAGTGTAACATTAAGTAATGCCAAACTTTATGTTGTTAAATGTTGAAGAGAGAGATTGACAGACAGTCAGAGAGCAAAGTTTACTCCAAATCCTGTTCAAGTACAGGTGGTCCTAGGTTAATGACCGCTTCTTAAGTGATCAAATTTACAGTGGTACTTATAGCTGGTCTTCAAAGTCCAGTCTGTTGCAGGATTCCCATGGTCATACACCATGATCTTAATACTTAATAACCAACCCGGATTTCTAACCATTGCAGTGCCATGAAATCAAGATTTGCAACCTTCCTTGCTGGCTTTCTGCAAGCAATTTAATGAGGAAACCATTAGGAAGTCACAGTCATGTGAGGACTTCACATAACAATTTTCATCATTTGCTTAACAACAGTAACCAGGGATTTCTAGAATATAGAATATCTGTCACTAAGTGGCCCAGTCATGGGACATCATACTTATTTTCATTTTGCTTAGTGATGGAAATTCTAGTTCAGCCGAGTCCTATTCAGTCCAATCAAATCAACAAACTTAAAATCTCTGAAACTGGCCTCCTATGGGATAAAAAAATACCCAGAAAAATTTAACCAAAACTGTATAGGTACCTTACAGTGGATATCTAACAGATATCCAACACACCTTCCTCCTTCTACATTCCCCATAACAACAACCCTGTAAGGTAGGTTGGGCTGAGAGAGTGTCTGGCCCAAAGTCACACAGATGGCTTTCATGGTTACGGTAGGACTTGAACTCACAGTTTCCTGCTTTCTGACCTGGTGCCTTAAGCACTACACCAGACTGGCTCCCATACCAACTTGCTGTGTGTAGATTGTGTGTTGTTATAAGACTAATAATGTTGTACTGTGATATATTAATTTAGTATTGTAGTGTTTTCATTGTTCTTATGATTATTTGCTTTTTACCATGGACAGTTGTTCAAATTGATTTATTGTATACTGTTATAAGTAGCCAAAATTTGCTGCAATCACACATGTGATAATTGTATAGAATTTTTCATAACTTATCAGCAAAATCCCAGTGGTATTTGCAAATATACAGTAATAGTAGTTCCTGTAGTGTGCTTTACAGCAAGCTTTTATGTCATAAAAAGTACAAAATAGCATGTGTGCTATATTTATTTATGTTGCATTTAGTTTAATGAATGATCCTGGAAGTGAGAGTATTCATTTTAAGAAAAGAATTATTGTAGGTTTGTTACATTAAATTTGCATAATTTAGTCCTGGTTTATATAATGTGTAGTAGCTCCAGGCATATTTTGTAATCTAAACAAAAAGCAGGCAACTGTGGCTTCATGTTTACTTGGGAATTGCATCAAGGCACTGGCATAACAGGACTTTGATGTCATCTCAGAACTTCCATGATCAGATAATGATAGTTAGCTTTAGGGAAGCTAATGACTTGTTGCATAGAACAAAACCACTCAGTTTTTAATTAAATTGATTTTTAAAATAATATGTGTATGTCTTTGAAAATGAGAAATACATCTTTATGTCTTGAAGTCTATTGATCTGTGGAGTAATGAATGAAATATTCCATTTTCCTGAGCGCTGCTCCCACTATCCATGGCTGGGATCTTCCCTCAGATCTTGACATTAACTGAGTGAGAGCTGATTAAACTCTCCCTGACTAGCCACGCCTCCAATCCCATGCTCCTCCTGTCTATCACTCAGTTACTGACAAGAACTGATGTGAATTTCAGAGCTGTGGAAAATTGAATTTATTTTAAAATTTCTCTCCCTAGGTCTCTTTTTCTTTGTTTAGATTTTCCTTTATTTTTGATTATTCCTTTCACGGTTAAGCTGCAGGTAGCTGGGCTGCTGGTTGCGCGTGGTGTGTCTGGGGCTCCGGGCTGCCCGTGCCTCAGAAGATCGCAGCTGCCGGATTCCGACTCTTCCGGGCGGATCCGGCTCCCTCTCATTAGCCACGAGCGTGGGCTGGGCATGCAGGCTTGCTGCTATCGCCATTGCTCTTACTTCCATCATCAGTGGCTCCGGGGTTGCGTCACCTTGGCGGTGCGCACTCCATTGATTATTTCATTGAGCCGGAGGCGACGGTTAAAGCGGGCAGGCTTGCTGCCAATTTCAAATCATCAGGAGTTGCCTTCGCCGGCTTCAGAGGGGCGTCACTACTGCGGTGCGCCCTCCGATATGGATCCCTTCCTGCAGCCGACATCGTGGACGTGGTGAGGTGACCGGCACCATTTCGATCGCGCCTTGTCTGATTGTTTGTCAGCGCGGGGCCGAGTGCTTGACCTTTCTGTTGCTGCTGTGCAGCAGACGTCATTTTGAAGAGATCTCAGGACGCCCGCCATTTTGCCTGTCATTTCCATAGCGGGCACCTTTCTAAGGCGGCGTTCACCATCAGGCCCTGCGGGCGATTATTGGGCGCGTAACACCGGTGCTTCCTGGGCCCTTCCTCAACTAGTGGACGTGGGGAAGGACATCTGGACTTTTGTTACCCTTCCGCCTGTGCGCTAAATTGTGGACATTGTTCCTTTTAGCAACGATATTTTGTGAGTTTCATCTGCCTGGCGGCCGACACGCACTGGGTCATAAGTGTGGACAATTACTGTAAATAGTTCATTTCCTATTAAAAAAAATAATTAATAATAGAAGCCCCTCCCTTTGTCGGACTCTGAGTCTGAAAGGTGGCATGGCGGACTCTTCATTGTTGTCCGACCTTGAGCCTGAACTGAGCCCATGACATAGGCCATCTAAGCGGGCTAAGAAGTCTTCGGGGAAGCGGTCTGAGGTCTCCAGCCGCAAATCCCATAAGTCCAAAGCGCCCAGGGGCCTTGACAAGGATGCCCAACGCCGTCACAACACCCTCGAGCGTCAATGGGACAAGGCACGATGTGCGGCTATGGCCGAAGTGGGCCTAGACACCAATGCCCCTCAACGTGCTGCCTCAACTTCTGCGGCCGGAATCACGCTTTCTTCTGAGTCTCTGGCCTCTTCACCTGACCATGGCCTACAGGAGGCCACGCAGCCTGCCCAGCCACTATGGCTTTCCAAGGGGAATCCCAATCTTTGCCAGACGTGTCGGGAGTGGGTTTGGCCTCTTCACATAGGCCTCCCTGCAAGTTGCCGGAGGCCACGTTTACACCAACTTCTGCTGGCCTCCGTGGTCCGGACGGGCCCTCTCCTACAGCTCCGCTGGATCTGCAGGCTATCCTTTCGTCTGCCTTTTCATCCTTCTTAGCAGCTGGTCTTCCTCAAGCGACACAACTTCCACTGCAATCCTTGGCGGGGCAGCCCACCCAACAGCCTCAGCCAGCTTCCTCGTTGCATGCCGCACGGAAGGGGACCTCTTGCCCTCAGGCTGACTCAGACCAGGGTGAGGAATACCCTGAGGACATTGAATTTTCGGATGATGACGACTTTCCTCCGGACAACCCAGCCTTTACGGGATTGTTCTGCCCGTCCATGTTTAAGTCACTTCTGCACAAGGCTCGACTTACTACCAATTTGGGCGCCCCGGGGGTTGACTCGTCGGGTGCCTCTGCTACCACTGGACCCCACGACGCTCTGTTTCACTCCTCCAAGCCGGACAAAGATGTCATTCCGTGCCCCCGGCTGTTCCTGGACGTGCTGCAAGCCCCTTGGGGTCAACCTGGTTCGTTAACCTCGCCCAGTACACTTGACAAAAAACTATATTGTGCGGCTCCGGACCTTGAGGACCTCTTGGCCCTTCCGATGGTTGATGTTCCAGTCGCGTCTCTGTCCTCCAATTCCGTTGTTTCGAAAGACTCTCTGGACGGTCTGAAGGCGGAGGACCGTAGGGCGGAACTGGCCTTTCACAAATCGCACCAGGCGGTGACTTGGGCGATCAGTTGCTACTGCAACTTCTTTCTTTAATAGAGCCTCCCTTATATGGCTGAAGCAACTTCAACAACGTCTTCCACCGGAGGAGACAAGACCACATCAGGATATAAATAAGATTGTTGCAGCCACCGAGTACTCTGCTGATGCGTCGTGGAATTCGGTGAAGTTTGCTTCCTGTGCCCTAGCATCCATAGTCTCCTCCAGGCGTTTGTTCTGGCTGCGCCATTGGAAGGCAGATCTTAAAACAAAATGGAGGCTAGCATCTGCGTCGTACAAGGCCCCCAACCTGTTTGGGGCGGCCTTGGAGCCACTACTAATAGAGGACAGAGACAAACGGAAGGTGCTTCCGTCTTCCTACCGCCGTTCAGAAAGGCGTTACATGCCATATAGCCAGCGTCAGCCATTTCGGTCCTTTCCTGGCTCAGGCGGGTCCTTCTCCCGCAGATCCTCCTTCTCTGGGAGTGACCGCTCACAAGGGAGAGACTCCTTTCATGACCGAGGCAGATTCCAACAACAAGCTAAGCGGCCTTTTCGTGGCTCCAACTACAAGCAGTCCCGCAGGGGCAAATGACTCGCTGTTAGTGGGTCCCATCGATAGGCGACTTCAACTTTTCCATCGCCAATGGGCCCATTCGACTTCGGACTCCTGGGTGCGGCGCACCATTTTGTCCGGTCTCTCTGTCGAATTTGTGGGCTTCCGCCGAGTTGCTTTGTGCCTGGTCAGGTGCCAACCTCCCCCGATCGTCACCAGCTCATGTTACAGGAGATTGCCCACCTGCTTCATATCAAAGCTATAGAACCGGTGCCTACGGATCAACACAGGTCGGGCTTTTACTCGACACTCTTTCTAGTGCCCAAAAATTCAGGAGGCTGGAGGGGAAGCCTGAATTTAAAACTCCTGAATCTGTCGGTTCGTTACCGCAGATTCAAAATACACTCACTCCGGTCAATACTGGCGGGAGTGCGAAAGAGGGAGTTCCTTCAGTTGGTGGACTTACGAGAAGCTTACCTGCATGTCCCGGTGCCCCCGGCTCACAGATGGTATCTGAGATTCGAATACGCCGGGAAGCACTTCCAGTATTGGGCTATGCCATTTGGCCTCTCCTCCGTCCCCCGCACTTTCACGAAGCTGGTGGC